TCCAGGATGCATTTGAAAAGTGGCAGAAACGCTGGGATCGGTGTATGCGCTCCCAAGGGGACTACTTTGAAGGTGATGGTGCAGAGTAAGATCTAGGTAAGATGTAATAGTTTTTATTAATATACTTCAGGAACTTCTGGATTGCACCACGTACATGTCTCAGTATCATTTTGTCAGACCCCATTTGTAATATGGGTTCTTTTTTCGTGTCCTGAGTCATGTATGCATGGCCGAAACCATCAGATCTAGGTTTCCATTGTCCCCTGCACTGGAGACGGTAAATTCCTGCCCTAGCCTCTGCATCCAACTGTACATGCAGTGGGGGAGTCCAAGGAGTATCTCCAGTGCAGCTGTTGGAGATGTTCGAAATGCTCCTGTAATACCTAAGCAAGCCAACCTTTGCAGTTTGCCAAGTTCTGTCTTGCTTGTCTTGAATTTAACTCTAGGCCACCATACTGTGGCACCATAAGTCTCAGCCACAGTGTACATCCAATGTACAACGTGTGGATGTAGTCCCCAAATTTTACCAAACATTCTTCTGCATGTCCAAAAAGCCTTATAAGCTTTGTTAATGACTTTGTCCAGCTGCTTTTTCCATGTCAGTCCCTTGTCTAAAACTAGACCAAGGTACTTGATATCGCTGGAGAGCTGGATTGTCTTATTGAAGAGAGTGGGTTCCTTAAGACCCTTTATATTTCTCTTCCTAGTAAACGGCATAATTACCGTCTTATTGGGATTGATGAAAAGACCTGTTCTTTCACACCATCGTTGGACCATGTACAGAGCTGACTGAAGACGCTCTGATACAGTTGAAAGGAACTTTCCATTTATGAGGATTGCTATGTCATCAGTATATCTTACTGTATAATACCCATCATCATTAACCTTCAGCGTCCAAATGGCACATATATATGTCACAAGCAGCAACCGGACTTGGCTGAATGACACCTATATGTGCTGCAGGACACATGCTCTCTTTGGGAGTGCTGACAGTTTGAAATTGGGTTTGAAACCAAAGCAAACCTACATGAGGTCATGTCAATGGTTCATTCCTTAGCTCTGAACAAAGAAATCGTTCATCACAGTACTGGTT